AAAGCCTCATCCAATTGTCATGAAATTTTGTACACAGAGTGATCTCATCAATATCTCAGTCGAGTTCGAAGATGAGAAGGATCCGCCAAGAAATGGCTGAGTTACCGAAAAAATTGTCATTATTGACCCGACCATCCCTGAAGGCGGAGGGGGTGTGACGGCAGCATTGCCTTTGTATCTTATTTTGATGCTTGTTGTATATGTATACACATATAAATATGTGCTTGTTTTACTAATTTAATTTTCTTGCTTTTTCGCGCGCTCATTCAGAGTAGTGTGAGTTACTTAAATAAATAAACACTTCTTGATCCTTTAAAAATAAATTCAACCTATATTCAATCTTTGCTTTTACAAACAATCTTACCATCTACCAAATAAATTATTGTGGCACCTGGTCCTTGTACTAGTTGCGTCTTATGTGCACTCAGTGGCGTGACATCTTCTCCATGTCGCTTGTATGCGTCATATGGTAATTAATGCATCTTGTTCAGATACTTTAATATTAAAAGGAAATAAAATACTTCGTTGATTATGATATTAATGTTACATCATCAAATAAATATTTATTTATCCTTGTTTTACATTCTACAAAATTTAGTAGAATCTATTAAATTATGATTTCTTTATTAATTTTAATTTTAATAATCGATCTTCGTCGCTATGAAGCAGACAATGATTAGACACAGATTATGACATTTCTTTTATATTAACTTATTCATTTTTTAGCGAAAAATGATTGTTGATAATAACGACATTTACTTTCCTTCCATATCATTCGAATTAAAAATTCGTTCCATTCCCACTCGAGCTGCTCGAGACCCGTACTTCGAGATAACGATAGCGAAAATCTCTTTCTTTTCTTCGAGTATAGAAAGAAAAAACTCAATGTCCCTATGTCCCAATGTCCAGAGCATTAAAACATAAACATCTATTCAGAATCTTTGTCGTTGTTCTCTCTTCAATCAGGACAAATAGACACCATTAATCTTGGAAACAAAAACGTTTTTTTTAATCTACATAGTCAATCAAACTATCTCATATTACTCACAAACAAAATTCTATTTTTATGAATCACTTTCTCACGACATTTATAGAATAATCAACAACTCCAATCTCAACTAGATTCTAAACTCTACTGCCACA